GTTTGAAGCCACAGACACTCAAAGCCTAACACGATATCCTTGACATCATAATTTTGTATTTCTGTATCCTCTAAGTCGCCTGAGTGAAACTACGGCACTATGGATGTTCTCAGGAAAGAGACTTTGATTATTTTACTTGTTGCTTCCGTTTTATTGTTGGCCGACCCCTGGCAGCTTGCAAACCCCGAGGTCACCACAACTTGTGGCGAAAGGTTTCCAAACATCCTCATGTTAGCATGACTAAAGGCATATTTAAGATTTGTCTTGGACCCGGCCTTCAGTAAAACAGACAGAGAATGAGGGCGAGACGAGAAGATAAGACGGATGCGCTCATCTCCAAACTGAGCAGCAGAGACAAACAAGAAATAGTTTTGTCATCAGAGCATCTTCATGAGGCGGGGGCAGGATGGTGCCGCAGAGGGGTGCAGGGTTGAAGATGTCCTCTTTGCTCAACGTGGAATGAACCGGCCAATAAACACAACAGGGTCGAGCAGATTCCCACCTGATTCCCAGCAGATCCTTGACAGATTAACGCCTCTAGAACAATGAGACGAGAGTGGAGACGGCTTCCTCTGTGTCCCTGCTTGTCTGCGGCAGACAACATCCCAGTGCTACCCTTTCTGCAGGGTTGTGGTGTGTGTGCTCCCGGGCAAGGAAACTTTCCCAGCAATCCCATGGGGGAGGGGGAAAACTATACCACCAAAAACACACATAAACATCTGCGTGCTCATGTGAGTGAGGCAATGGCGTGATCTTTTTTCTTTTTGCGTCATTTGCCAGAATTTCAAGTCCCCAATTTCTGTGACCAAAGAGGGACCCGGGGAAAGAACATTACCAAACACAGACTCTCACATCCTTTATGTGAGTGTAATTTAACCACCAACCTGTGGATGATCTCTCATATCTGCAATCTCCCTCGTGGGGTAATTTTCAGGTTACTAAACATCTATTTGGTTCTCAACAGGCTTTGACTGACAGATAAAGGCAGAATAGAAACAAATTTTAAATTCATGAGTGACATTATGAGTGTTGAAACTGGAAGTGTTCCAGCTTCTGGAAGAAAAAAAAAGGTGTGATTTCTATTTAGAGAATCAATCTCAGACAAGACGTTTCTTCCCTCCTTTCTCTCCTGCACACCTGTTCTGTGCTCCCCTCCTTAACCTCCTCGTTCTCTCCTCCTGATGAGCCCCTTCCCCCATCCTGAAACACCTCCTGCTCTCCAGAGCAGGTGTTGGAGGAAGTCATAGGCTAATCAGACAATCTAAACAATCACTATCTCACCACTGATAGTGGCAAATCTACACAATTCCAGTTGGGTCCAAGATTGTATACTTTACATGACACAGAACTATATCCTGGGTTTGATGTAGACTATCGGACTATTTTTGATCAATAGACCCTTTTAAAGGCTGTATTACATTGTTTTAAAAGTATGGAGAGGCCATATTTATGCAGTTTTCCTCAGCCCTAAGAACATTTTAGTGTTCTCATTGAGCTCATTGTTTTGGGCCTACAACTTTTTTTTTCAGCTTCACCGCTCTTATTAGCGTTGTTTCCCTTCGAAGGCAGGAAAAAAACCTCTGATAAACCCACCTTACACTACCTGCCCAGCATAAAGTGGCAGACAGACACAGTTAGCTACTAGCTAGTGAACATAGTGGAGCATTTAGGAGCTCAAAAGCAAGATATTTCCCTCAGGTTGGTGGAGACCAAAAGCAGAGCTAAAAGAGGGTGAATATTGGACTTACAATCTCCAAATGAATGTCTGCAGGATGAGTAAATGGTCAACTGTCTGCTGACATGTTAGCCATATCAAATGTTTAATAAGTTAATTGTTTAGTCTATAAAATGTCACAAATTGTGAAAAATGCTCATTGGCAATGAGTTTTTATCTCAGCATCTTCAAATGACTTGCTTTGTCCCGCCAGCAGCAGTCGACCAGTCAAATTCAAATTAACTTAAATCAACGATGACATGAGACAGAAAAATGAGACACTTGCAAATGTTTGGTATTTATTCATGATAAATGGCTTAAAGGTCCAACATTTAGGGAATCTATTGGCAGTTTATTAGGGTATTATCACCTGAAAAAAGGAATTGTTATGTTTTTGTTACCTTAGAATGAGCATTTTATATCAACAGACGCCACGGGTCGCCTTTCATGGACGCCTGAATGGACAAACCAAATACTGGCTCTAAATAGGGCCTTTAAATGATCAACTGATTAATTTTTAATAATAGAAGAAGCTGGAGACGTGTAAGATTTAAAGAATAGGGCAGAATACCCAAACATTTGCCGCTAATTAGCAGAGTATTGTTTAAACTCAGAACACTTTGCCCTTCTGTGTCTTTGTCCAGCTCAGGCCTTCGCAGCTCGAGTGGCTCAGGGGATCAGTGCAGAGTGCTAACATATATATATCTTCCGTCCCTGTGATTTAAACTAACACCACTGCCACGCAGCTCAGCACAAAGGAGCCAGCAAACACATTGTGCAATTCCCAAGAAAGCCACCCACAGACATTTATACAGCAAGACTGGCGACCAGCAGCTCAACTGCGTTTCAGAACTCACTTGGAAGGCGGACAGTTTGTGCTGCTACGCCAAGGACAGGAAGTGCTTGCAGAGGGACAGGAAGTGCTCACCGCTGCAGTAGCCGAGGCTGGAACTGAGATAATGCCATTGTGTAAGCAAGCCAAGTGACCTCTCCCTGAGCGCAGAGTCCAGAGGCTGGCGTCGAGAGCCCTGTCCCCCACCCAGCCCCAGACTCCCTAGGCACGGGGTGGGGGACTTGGTAGAGGGACAGGGGGAGGAATGGAGGGAGGAGGAGGGAGGAGGAGGGGGAGTATGAGGCGTGTCACCTCCCCTCCACTCCTTTGGGTTGACTCTGAACCTCACCTTGTAGAGGAAATGTGGCTACGACTCCAGACTTTATGACTTCTCCCATCAAAAGCCAGGATTTTTCACTCCCACAAAGTTAGTGAGAGAGAGAGAGAGAGAGAGGTGGCCAAGGCACACTCATAACCCACGCCCATGTCAACACACACACACACACACACACACACACACACACACACACACACACAGAGAGTCTCTCTTTCTCCACTCTCTTAGGATCGGAGGGGGAAAAACCTTATCAAGTCATCAGCGGTAAAATAGATGATGACAGTATTATAGTCCAGATCCTGTCCCATGCAGCGTTTGTCTGGACCTCCATTCCAAAACACCCTCCCACCAAACCCCCTAGAGGGTCACCCAGCGTGCTCTGGAGTCCCCGCTGGTGTCTGCACAGGGCACTAAAAGGTTGCATAAGCATCTCTCATATTTCTGTCAGCCGCTTTTGACGTGTCAGAGGGACCGTAACCCACAACGAGATGGGAACGGACCGAGAAAAGACGGAGCTGACAGGTTGAGGTCTGCTGGCTCTGATAAGAACCCCTGCAGCCTGTTGGTGATGTTTGGATTTCTGGCTTCAACAGGGGGGCTTCATTCTCCGCTACATAAACACTCTAAGTCTGGATATTTGAGGTGCAACAGGTTGCTTTAACCTTTCCCCCCCCTCCTGTATCACCGTCCTAGTCCGGCACAGCTGCTCCAAAAACAAGGAAACACATTCTCACACATTTCTGTAGCTTGCACGTGTGTCGTAGAGTTAATAGAGTTTATATTTGACTACGGGCTGATGTCATCTACACATACACCAGTATGAAGTATGAATGCTGCTCAGGGAAGCGTTCCAAAAGTTTCACCTCAAACTCAGGGTGAAACTGCTGTTGTCAAGTCTCAGGGAAGGATATTATTTTAGGTTTGAAGGCAGACTTATAAAGGATTATAAAGCATACAGTAAAGCAAATGAGCATCTAATGAGGGGAAAATAATTAGATTGAGACACAATAGTTCAGGTATTTGAAGTGACATGCGCTTTAAAGCTTTGTTGAAAGAGGCATAATAGCTGGGAATCAAATCCTGAGCACAAAAAAATAATCAATTATTATTTTTAGTCATCACAGACTTGGCATTATTTCCACTATGTACCTCTTTTATTTAATTCCTGTACAAATAAGCTGAGACAAAGGTATTTGGGCATTTGTCCAGACATTATCAGTTCTCATAAATGTGATACTGAAAAAAGTGTTTTACCCCCCCAGCTTAATCAATCCGCTGTTTGTTTAGTTCATTAACATCCCAGACCGACGTCTAGTCGGGTAAAGACAGTGTATCCACTTGAGAATCTGTTTTGACATTTGAACGCCACACCAGTATCACATAACATTTTACAGGTTTGAGTCAGACACTTGATCACTTTACAGCTATGTGATGGGTGTTTATTTAAGCTTTCTCCACTCGCACTGATTTCGCTTTTTAGGACATTTAAATCCTCAATTAGCGCCTTTTTTGTCCTTCTCATTAGGCTGCAATCAAAGAAAAGTCTCCATCGAGACGACCGTGCGTAAAAGTGGCGAATGAGGGAGCCATTAACTCCACGCGTAAACCTGATATTCAAGATTTAACACAGTTAAACTCCCCCAATACACAGACTGACGATCAAGTGTATTGATGTCTGAGCATTAGTGTCAGTCTAATGCAAGGGTGAGAATTAAAACTGGACCGTGTGGTTGTCCAAATAAACGTTATTGTGGATTAAATATTCCACCAGTTTCACCTCTTTACTTCAAAATAAAGAAATATACACACATTGTTGCTCTAAAGTCTGGAATTACATCTTAAGTGTTTAATGTCGCTATAAAAAATAATTCAATGTTTAAATCAATGTTATCTTCACATGAGCATATATTCTTATCAGGTAAACTTAGTTTTGCATCTATTTGAAATCTCACAGCTCTCTCCTCAGAGGGTCTCAGCTCTTCACACACAAGGGTCGGAGGCGGGGTGCTCGAAACTTTTTTACACCTTTGTAGTAGTGGGCACTCCCACCACATGGTGATTGGCTGCCTGTGAGTTTATAGCGCACCAACCTTCACATCCAGCGCTGAGTACTCGGTATCGTTCAGTCCACAAGACTCCTGGAAGTGGCCAATGGATGTGACTAATTATTTTCCATTCCAGCTTGAAAGCCAGAAATCTTGTTAAGTTATTATTATTTTTTCCTTTAAATCTATCTGGTCTCAGTGGTAGTGTGTTGTCGCCTCTGCGAGCTGTCCGGTGGCTCTCCAAAAAACCTCCCTGCTGGACAGAGATGAGTAGTCCCGATGCGGGTTACGCCAGCGACGATCAGACCCAGGCAAGGTGTACGATGTCAGTCATGATGCCTGGAATGGGACACTGCCAGTGGGCCGACCCTATCAGTCCTCTTGGGGACACCAAAGTGAAAAACGAGCCGTGCGCCTCCAGCTCCGGCAGCCAGAATCGCGGGAAGAGCGAGCCGCGGATCCGACGGCCCATGAACGCGTTTATGGTCTGGGCAAAGGATGAGCGCAAGAGACTGGCGCAGCAAAATCCGGACCTGCACAACGCCGAGCTGAGCAAAATGTTGGGTAAGTAATTTTATTTAATCAATCCCATGTTGCTCGCCTATTTGCCAAGTCTGTACATGTTATTATAGAGAGCTGTAACATCATTGTTACTGAATTTTAGGAGCCTGTAATTTGAATTTCATGTTTTTATTCTGCTAAAAAACACATGAATAGTTACTTATCAGTCAGTGCATTCATTGTTTAGGCAGCAGGTGGTGTTACTATGTCATTAAAAGTTACTGTGTCTGAGTTAAGCTGCACATGTAACCTGAAAAACCTGTCCATGCCCCCTAAAATGGCAACAAGCTATTTTTGTGTGCATCATCAGACTGCGTACAGTATCTGCTGACATATCATTGATGTGCACTGTCCTCTTGACCTGCAGGGAAATCGTGGAAAGCCCTTCCTGTCACAGAAAAGCAGCCCTTTGTGGAGGAGGCCGAGCGGCTGCGGGTTCAGCACATGCAGGATCACCCCAACTACAAGTACCGGCCCCGGCGCCGGAAGCAGGTGAAGAGGATTAAGAGGCTGGACTCTGGTTTTCTAGTGCACGGTGTGTCCGATCACCAGGCCCAGTCGATGTCCGGGGACGGCAGAGTGTGTGTGGAGAGCCTGGGCCTGGGCTACCACGAGCACGGCTTCCAGCTTCCTCCACAGCCGCTCAGCCACTACCGAGATGCTCAGGCTCTCGGAGGCCCCTCTTATGAAACCTACAACCTCCCAACCCCTGACACCTCTCCTCTGGACGCTGTAGAGTCAGACTCCATGTTTTTCCCTCCACATTCACAAGAGGACTGCCACATGATGCCTGCGTACGCTTACCACTCCCAGGTGGCAGAGTACCAGCCCCAGGACCCCCTCTCCAACCACCACAGCAATCCCATCCTGCACCGACACCCCACCTCGGCTCCAGAGCAGCCTGCCACCCTTCCCCCTTCCTACATGGGATGCCCCAACCCTCTGGCCATGTATTACACCCAGCACTGCAGTCCCAGCCACCCCAAGCGGCATCCTGGTGGGGCAGGACAGCTCTCCCCCCCTCCTGACTCCCACCCTCACTCAGCAGACAGCGTGGAGCAGATGCACCACTCTGAGCTGCTAGCCGAGGTGGACCGCAGCGAGTTCGAGCAGTATTTGAGTTCCTCTTCGGCGCGTGCGGACATGACAGGCTTGCCGTACGGGCCACATGAGGCTGGCATGCAAGGACCTGAAAGCCTCATATCATCGGTGCTGTCAGACGCCAGCACAGCTGTGTATTACTGTAGCTACAACAACTCCTAACCTCCTGCCCAGCCTGTTACCCCGCTGCAAGGACACTTGATCTGACCTCAAATCTCTGTAGCTAAATTTGAAACAAAAATGTTTTTGTTTTGTTTTTTTAAATTTGTTTTTCACTGCTAGCACAGAAGGTCCATGAGATTTTAAAAGGAAGCTTTGAAGAAGACTGTTGTACTGTATCTGTCTAAGAAAAGAATATTTTACACTGGTTTTAACTTTTTCCTTCCACCCTTGCAGGGATATGAATTCATTTTGTGATAATAAATATTGTACAGTCACTATTTTAAAGTTTATGTATATACTGAAGGTGGTTTTTTTTTTATACTTTTTGCACTTTCGAGAAATAAATTTTTGCAAATAGACTCATCCTCTCTTGTATTTATTATTCCACATTCTTTTGACAAAAATTCACTTTTTCAGATGTTTTTCCACGTGGCGCAGCATTACCGTTCATTCAGTGTTTTGTATTACATGGCACTATCTCTGTTAGTTTTTCCCACTTCCACATGGAGCTGAATGGGCTCCCAGAAGCACCAGTTGCTCACCTGGAAGCAGGGCAGCGACCCGGCATCCTGGCCCGGACAGAGTGGAGGTAATCTCTGTCTGCGTTACACATGGCGCCTTGTTTTCGCAGCATGGGAGCACAGTTTATGCTCCGGACATCCTGCCTCTAAATGATTTAGTCCCTTCTGATTAATGCTTGGGGTCATTAGAATTCACTGTGGTCTACTACACCTCTGTTAAACAATGGTGACACTTTATTTTGTGTATTTTCACAGTTGAACAGGAGGTGTATTTCAACATCCATCCACCCGCTATGTATAATAACACAGCAATGACATCAGGTTTTATTTCTGTGGGTACACTGATATACCCTGTGGTATATTTATATTTATAAACACCAGTCTGATGCTTCCTCATATATCAAATTTATCAGGTAAAAATCCTTAAGAGATCAGACCGAACCTTGAGGATAATTCATGGTATTTATAGCTGAGAAAGAGTCCCATTTTATAAATAGAGATTTCCCCTATTTTAAAAGGAAGAGGTTCTTCTCTGAGGGGTCAATCACCCTGACCCCACGATCCATTTTTAGCTCTTCAGAGGAAACATGTTCCAGAGGTGTATATGTTCATGTGCTTTGTTCATGCTGAATGTTTTTTAAATATTCTCTTATGTAGGAGAAGTAGTGGTTGAACCTCAAGGTAAATATTACTTGTTCTTCCCACGGTCGCAATAATGATGTCAGCTCTTGATGAAGTCAAGAAAATCTAAAAGAAATTAAACATTTTTGAGTCCAAACAAGTATGTCTCATATGTATAAAGTGTTGTCATGTCTTCTTTACTTCCCTCGTACCCAAACCTGACGTATTTCCCTTCAGGCCGTGCAGAACAATCCACTGTAATTGGTGTGAATGTGTTTAAATTCAGTCTGCAGCTGAGTGCCAGGTTTATCCTCCCTGTTGTTACAGCTAATGGGTGCATAACAACAGGCTCAGGCCACGATCCCCGAGGCATCAGCAGAGTGGGTGGGAGTCACCTGCACAGACTTAGGGAGAGGCAGACCCCCCATGTCAGCCTGTGATATTATCTCCTCTCGCTAATTGATCTGGGCTAATTGACGAGGAAGAAGCTCACTGAGTGAATATGGCTTTTTTTCAAGGTTTATCTTAAGGACACAGGAAGAAAGAATAAGATAAAGTTTTATTTATCCCTGGAGAGAATATTAGGTGTCGAAGCAGAAACAGAAAAATAATGAATGAAACACAGGAGGGGTTCAGGTAAGAGTACAGAACAGAAAAATAAAGTATCTTGATAATATTTATATGAGTTTATGACTTTAACTGGTGTGGGAGGAAAATACTCATGATTGTTGTTTTTTAGTTGAATTTAATGTATTTTACTGTTTAAATGTAAAGTGAGTATCTGGAGACCAAAAAAAACAAACAAACAAACAACAAAATCCATCCCCACATTCAAGGACTCAAAGGTTTTATTTGTTACATGTATTGAAGTGGGGCTACTCTTAAGACTAGTGTGACAAATAAGAGTTAGAAAAAAAGAAATATAAAGGTTAATTTGTCACAATTTAATTAAAGCACCATATATAGAAATATAAAGAGTAATGTAACTCAGTTCTTTAAATACAATACAGTTTGTGTTTTCTTCTGTTGATATTTTCATACAGTTTCATATAATGTATACAGTACAATATAGGTACTTGTATTTTAGTCATGCAATCATATTGTCTGCATTAATAATGTCAGACAAAAACAGTAAAGTAAAGTAAATATACATGTTTATATATAGAATATACAGTACACGTTTCCCTTAACGTCACTTTTTCCATATGAATCCTGATGAGAAAATAAATATTGTTTTTATTTTGTGTGTCTGTGTTTAAAGTTATTGACAGTATTTACATTTGTAAGCAGCACTAAGTTGTTTCCAGGCAAAAGCAAGACATTCAGTCAGCAGAGAGAGCACAGCTCAAAGCTCAGGAAATCAGGGCTTTCATGGTGTTCCCATTGCTGAGGTAGTGTGTGTGTGTGTGTGTGTGTGTGTGTGTGTGTGTGTGTGTGTGTGTGTGTGTGTGTGTGTGTGTGTGTGTGTGTGTGTGTGTCCTGGGGCCTTGCTGCCAGCAGTCTGCAGAGAGCCACTCAGAGATTACAGCAGGACGGTCGGCTACATTAACACAGCAGCACTTAATCATGGCACTGCCCTAATCTCATCTCAGGTAGCTGCCTTTCACAAACACGCCGACAAACGCGGCTTCATTTACCCACAAAAGCCAGTCACTGTTTTACTTCATTCAGCCTCCAATCAACCATCAATGTCGGCTTCATTTGACCGACTCAGGTGCAAAAACTAGTGAAGCTCAGTTTAGAGGGTTTATTCTAATGTGACGTGTGGTTAAATTCCCTGTACATCCCAAATAAACACAGAACATACAGATACTACACGCCCTCTATTTGATTCTCTTTCTCGTAACTTTATGCCATTCAGAAACAAGGAGAGCACAAAAAAGTGAATTGATTTTAAAATGTGGGATGCAGTAGAGACTGATTGCTCCATACGATCACTTCTGGAAAAGAGGATCTACACTAAAAGGCAGCGCTCATTAAAGAAAGAATAAACAAGGGCCAGAAGGGGTTTTCCACAAATTGGCAAACCCACATCTGCTCACATTTATAGCTAATAACTAATCAAAGGTTAAGTAAATGATTTATTAAGCATTAATAAAGCCTTTAATTACAACTTAAAACCTCTTTTGTGCCTAATTAGAAAGTGGTGCACAGTTAATGTTATTTATCAAGGGTGTTGATAAATGTTTGGTATTATTATAAACTGAATATCTTCGTGGTTTGAAATGGACCAAAAAAAAGAACTTTGGGCTCTTTTATTTGATCAGATGTAAAATAATGGTTAGTTCAAGCCTTAAACTCAAATTATAAGGACATTCAGCAAAAAAATCAATCATAAAAGTCAAGATATTTAGTGCGTGTTCATGTATTCTTTGCATTAACGGCAACAGCACAGGCTTCGTCTCAAGTTACTATGACAACAAAACACACGTGCCTATAAGACAACCTCAAAAAAAATCTGCATGTTGTGTTTGAAGAGTAATGCACACACATAAATAAAAAAATGTAAAAAGCTACGTCGAGGTGAAGGTTCTAGTTTCGGACACAGAGAGGCTGCGAGGGCCCAAACTGATTAAGTCATTGATAGCAGATTGCAAATACAGCATGTGAGACAGCTGCAGGAGAGGGTGTGTCTCTTGTCTAAAGCAGGGCTGGTTGCTCATAATCCCAGGCATATGCTGTCCCTCTCTGGCCCGCTTTTATGGTCTCTGCCTGTCACACCACCGTCCAGTTGTGCTCCCACTATATATAGTGGATCCAGTCAATCTCCACTCGACGCTGTGACTCAATAGTTTATTTTCCTCCTGATTCCAGTTCTGCTTTTGTCACACGTGCGGTTATAAATAGTTGATAAATTGAACAGGTACCCCCCCACACACACACACTTTTTGTGGCAAGATGTCAGCTGCTGCGTCAAACTTCACAGGGATTATTCACAAATGGTTTTTGAAGTATTTTTATTGCACCGAAAGCTATAGTACAGTAACATAAGGTGCAACACGATTTAACAGCTTTGCATCAGAGAACACGTTGTTCATTTCAGATGTAAAAATCTTAATTCTTGGGTTCATACTGAATGGTGGTTTAGATTCTGTGTTGTTTATCTCTGCACTTTTTGTGCTTTATTGTATTGCTAATTGATTTTAAGTGATTAGTACCCTGCTGGGATGATTAACCACACCTGCCACCATACTTTTGTTGCATGGAGTAAGTGTCAATCTGCCACAAAAAAGGTTCCCGTCCTAAAGCACAACTCAAGTTTTAGAACTTTTAGAAATCTGGGACTTTTTTTTTTTCCAAAAGCATCATAAAATGAGTGAAACATACATTTTATCATCAGTGTTATCTAAAACACATAACAAACAAAGCCATCAAACCAACTCATAGCAAATTAAATTAAAAATGTACCTGAACAAGACACATAACACATAGAAATTGTTGATTTTTGGTTAAATTCTGTCTCATTTAAGGCTTTACAGTGTAGTTCTATGTACGATATGTATGTAATTTAGATTTGTACCAAACATTAACAGACAATATATTTAGTATGAATTCTAAAATACAAGTGAGGTTGTATAAAATAAGTTTTAGGAAGAGTTGCAGCCATAAAAATCTACTGATATATTCATTTTCACACTTCACACAAATGGCCCATATGTTTGCTATAGCTTACAACATTTAATCTAACTTGAATTTATTAAAGGATAAAGTGTGAAAAACTGAATAAATGTTTAAAACCAAATGTAATTTACTATCAACAAAATACGTTATAGTGAAAGAAAAAGTGTAAAATTTAAAGAAGATATCAAGTTGCGACACAAATTAATGCAAGAAGAGAAAGAGAAGCGAGGCCTGATTATAAAATGTGTGTCTGGTGCCAGAGGACATTTTTCAAGCTGGCTGGCACATTTGTTTCAAAGTCAGGAATTGAGTCAGGGAGCTGAATCAACTCCAGGCCTCTCCTGATCAGCTCAGTGCTCCTCGTTCTTTTGTTTGAATCCCCTTGTGGCATCCAGGACAATTTTTAGCTCATGTCCAGGCGGGCGGGTAGTATAAGATGACTACATCAGCAGTCAGTTTCCTCTCCACTGTGTTTTTCTTTTGGGAGGCTTGAAGGTGTTGGCAGAGCAGACCTACAGTCACATTTTGGTCTCTTTAAGTCTTGTGTCCCCCTGTTACGGGGTTGAGTGTTGGCTCTGGACTTCCCTTCCTAGGAA